ACATCAACACGTGTCCAGTTGTTATGTAACAGAAGAAGAATGGAATTACTAATCACAGAAGTAATGATCGTATGTGTAAGTGAGATGAAACTGCACTAATTACACATAATACTGTACACGTTGTATGTAAGTTAAGCCTCGAGAGAAGGCAAACAACAATTGACGATAAAAAGTTGATCAACCCACAACTAGTAAACAAAGTTTCTTTTTTTATTTTTAGTCAGTAATTTACTAAACTAATCACCCATTGAAGACAATGTGTGTGTGAGTTTGTTGGCTAATAGAGTTAGTTGAAATGAACAAAGAGTATAGTAGAGAAGGAGAGGATTAGAGAGGAAAAAAGTTGAAGAGAATTTTTTTTCTGAAGAGAATTAAAAAAGAGGAACAAGTTGAGAGTGTGTTTAGTTCCTTTACAGAAAAGGAGGATTAATTTGTCAGTCTTTTTTTAGATCATGTCTTCTCTCTATTTAAAAATAGATTGTATTGGGGTGGAGAAAATGATAATTAGAAATGGAAGTCAAATGCTGAATAGTCGATGTGATGTAATTGAACATTGAGTTGATATATGCGTAGTGAACATCAAAGCTGTCATAATTTTCTTTTGTTCAGTTCTCGCATTCTAATCCCTGTTACATATATATATTTCAAATAAACCTATTGATAAGAATTTTTTTTTACAGTTTCTTTTGAAAAAATAAAATCTAAAAAAATGGATAATTGTGTTGTTAAAAAAATGTTGTTCCCTATAATGAAATGGTATCTATATACTACTGAATAAAAAAAAGTTAATTATTAGTTGACTTAAATAAGTAATTAGGCATCAGTAGCATGTTATTCGAACATACTAATTTCCTTACGTTGAATAAGCTTATAAATATAAACTCAAGACTATACAAATTTATTGGACATGTGAACTTTCGAAAATTATGACAGAGAGTAGTTCCATTTAAAATTGATTTCGTAACAGAATTTCTATTGATGAATGAAAATTTTGTAAATTTATTCACATTAAAATCATTTTCATTCTTGATTCATCATAGCTCATCACCTAAATTCTTCAGGTTTATGCACCACTTTTTTTCTGAGTTTGCATTAGTCATAAACCGATAACAGTAAGTTCACTAATTATAATTAGTGATCGGAATTAACTAAGTATACAAGCAGCATTCAGTGTTCAATATTGTTCAATATTGGAGTTGACTGATTATAGTTATACCGAAAAAACAGGATTTAATTATAATTAAATACAAGCCTAATGTTTGTAGATATGTAGGAAATGATATCTTTATGATAGATAATTTATTTTAAACTAGGTCCTAAGTCTTTATGATCGAACATATTTTATGGGTTAGGTTATTTGAGATAATCGAAAGGAAAACCCTAAATTAAGCTTTTGCGCTATTTGTAACTCATCAACAAGGCATATTTGTAATATACACGAAGCTAAGTCTCCTTGTGATATTTGAACATGTCACCTGGTTGCATAGTCTCAAACGTTGTTATCAAGATATTCCGGTTTGGATTGATCTCTTAAAAGACTCAGATTGAAACTAAGCGATTCAAGTTCGAATCCAGCAAAAGGTTTCCATTCCCTAAGAACTCCAGGTATTAACCCTTCCATACAAGTCTCAAATACTAGGGCATCTGTATCTAGTGTTTGTCGTCGATTACATCGCAATCATCTAACATCTCGATGTAGTTAATGTGATGTCAAGTCAAAGACCAGTTTTTTTTTACATTCAGTCATTTCAGCTGAGAGAATAATTCGATTTTTCAATCAAAAAAAATAAAAGTTTGGTCACTACTCAGTCATAAGTCAATGTAAACATATTTTTTATGTTTTACAGAAAAATCTAAACTGTTATTAAAGCAGTTATTCAGCGTTCTCTGGTTTTCAATAACTACTTAGCTGATCCGATCCCAAAATGTGTAGTACTTTTTTGTGCAATTACTAGTTTAAAGACCGTTTTAGCAAAAAACTGGAAAAAAATGACACATTTTTATTGTTATTTCCTTAGTATATGTATCATAGATTAGTTAGTAAATAATCAAACAAATATTCTTAATATTTTTGAATAATATGTAACTAACTATTTTGTTGTGTGTCTTATGAAGCTATTAAGAATATGCAGTAAATATAATGCTTTTTATGTGATCACTTACCGATGGTTCAGTTAATCAATCAATCAACAACAACATAGCACTTTGTGTGTACATACATCAGTTCATGTTGCCATACCACATTAGCACAGAGATGTAATTGTCAATTCAAATCCCATAGTAGTAGAGGTAGTAGAAGTATGAGCAATAATCAGAGAGATTAGGGTTCGAAGATATTATTCAAGAAGTCGAATCTAGTGAAATAAGCTTAAAAAGAGAGAGATAGAGAAGATGAAAAATTAAGGCGATTGGGGCTTGAGAGAACACACAGAATGAATGCACCTGTGCCATTGCAAACGGTTTTGAGCCATATCATTCATGGTCTCTAAACATCGATTACTAACATCTCACGGACCCCAACCAGGTAGTCGACATCTACCGACATGACTTTGTCCACCTGTCAGTGACTTGATGGATTTGTGCCATGTTTTGGTTTGACCGCCTCTAGTTTTCTTCCAACCTATTCCTACACCGCAAAATATAGCTCGACGAGGCAGTCGGTTACCAATGGTTACTCTGATTCGACAAATCTTTTAGTGAACTGGTCACTTTTACACGTTGATATATAACGGAAATGTAATCATCCAACATTTAAACATTATAGAATATCGAGTAAATCACTCAGATTGGTGTTCTACTTTACAATTTAATTGATAGAAATAAGATTCGAACTAAGAAATAGATAAGCAAAACACTGGGTATTCATTATTCAATGATCAATCAGTGTAATTATCTCATTTGCACGAACAGTTGGGTAAGCATTTAAATTTTATCCATTTGCAGGATTAAAACTAATGTGACTGACACAGTATGATAATCATCTGATATCATCAATATTCAACTTATTGCCCACAGTTTAGTCAAGCAACAAGAAATTTACTGAATCACACGGAATACAACAAGTTCAAGACTAATTATTTACATTCAGTCATTTTAGCTAGAGAAAGTTTGTAGAGATTGATCTAATTTTATGCGGTACTTCTACTAACAAATTGATTGAGGCTAGAAATAGGACCTGATGGATAATGTTTATGAAAAAAATAACTTGTTTCCGACCATATAGAGTGACAGAGTATATATAATCAAGTTTTTATTCGTTTAAAGAGTTCTACTGTAATGACTGAACAATTTTCGGCTTCATTTTAATCTAATTTCATCTGCTTCACATCAAAAACATGCATAGAACATCAAAGCAGAGGTTAATAAATCAAGTTATTTCTATTATCTTTTTAATTCAATGTTTTAAATTTTCAGCTACAATTACTCACTGAAAAAAATTCACCTAAATGAATGACAATCGTTTACGTTGAGATTAAATTACTTATTGATTGAACACTTCAATAGTTTAGTATAAGAACTCTTGAAATCTTCTATGTTAAAGTGCCGTCTTAATATTAAGATGAAAATACATTCATTCATTGTGAGATATGTCTGTCACAAAGATATGAAACAAAATCTTAAATTTTACTGTTAATTATTATCCAAATATAAATAACAAGTTTTATACTTTTATTTGATAATTTGATCTAGTTGTCTTAGGTCATGTATAATAATTTAACTTAATTTCATTATTTTGAAGAAAGTTATCTTTTAAAATACCATCTCTAACAGGTATCATGAGAAAATTCACTGTGTAAGTTGAAATTTTCGATTTAAAATTAAAAGGAAACTTTATTTGATTGAAAAACTAATGGGACAGTTTTGTAGAATGTGAACAATAGTTTAATTTTTTAGTGTATTTAATATGTAGCTGACATTGGAATTCAGGAAAAATGTTCTATCCTGTTTCAGACTTGCATCCTACAGTTAGTATTCATATCAAAACTTCAATCTTGGTATTATCCGCCTTGAAAATACGATGTGTGTTAAACACTGTGCTAATTAGTCCAAAAATTCACCATCTTATCCAATGGAAATGAAGTTTATATCAAGGATCGTAATTCCCTATGGGTGTTATGCATCTGCTGAATTCGACTAATGACAAAATATTAATATATATATTGATACTTGTGACATTATATTGTATATCACTATGGCTTAAGATATCCTTATGACTAACGAGATTGTTCTATCACAGTCTTCAATGAATATCATGCAACAATAAATTATAAACATTCAATAACAATGTGGTTTATTATTTTAGTTCAACCATTTAAAGATAATATCCTTATTTCCTAAAATGATTCAATGAAGAATATTGTTAAGTGACATCAAAGTTGTTAAACATTCAAAAAACAAATTTACGCAGTAATATGCTTCATAATTGAAATAATTTAACTATTCAACTTAAAACTTTCATATATGAATGTACAACTCTTTGAAATTAATGAACCAAAGTATCTTTAAATACTTTCTTTTGACAGATTATCGATAATGTAAAGTAGTAAATTTTTGGCTAATCCTAACTGGTTTCATAGTCTCTACTAAAACTCTTGAATAAAAGGTGAAATTCCTTGATGAATGTAACTTCATACTTTAGACTTCGTTTCTATGATGTGCATGTTAATCATTCTTATTAAAATTTTCATCTCAATAACATATCTGTTAATATTTTCCCCAATATAAAAGAACTCGATTATTTAAAATAGATTGTTGATCATTTTTAAAATCATAATAACTTAATTCGATGGTCATTTAGACGACACAAATGATCATGTGCCAACTGGTGGACTACCCCGAGTTCTAGTGAAAAGCCATGACCACTATAGTTCAACCGTGCTCACCGAAAAGGCTCCCAGGTATCTAGTGATGATCTAACGTTGATCGATTAATGATCACAAAGACACAATAATTCATATCACGTAATTTACTAACATTATCAAAAAAATCCATTCACATACCATCAATTATATTCTGTCTCGGTAACGATTGACATTTCTCCACGATATCATTATTGATACAATGGTTTACATGAGAATCAGTCATATATTTAACAGGATAATGATGAATACGATTTAAAGATTGATTTTCATATTGAACATTGACAATGGATTGAGGTTTCCGTCTTTCTTCTTCTTCTTCGTTTTCTAAATAATTTTCAGTTTTATGATGACTGTTTAATTGTAAATCATAACAATTAAAACTAGACGTAGATGGTAAATGTTCATTGATTTTTTTACGTTTTTTAAAATTATAATTTGTAAAATCTTTCACTGTATCTGTATTTATCTGCTGTGATGAATTTGTTTCATTCAATAGGTGTTCATTTGATTGATAGCATTGTTGTTTCAATTGATCTAATTTCAAAGTATTCCATAATGCTGTATTCATTAAATAAGTTTGAATCGACTGAGCTGGACTTAATTCTACAGATGACTGATCAATTTTTATTGGTTTTTTAAAAAAATCATCAGAATTAATGTAGTTCGATGGAAATATGCTAACAGATGAATCTTCACTATATGCGCCACTTTTGTTCATTTGATAATTATTATTGTCTAATTTATTGAAGTCATTTAAATAATGAAAATAACTTGGATTTGTTAGAAGTGTTAAATCATTCAATTCTTGCATTTTTTTTCTGAACTAATTACGAAATAATATTTTGGATTGAAAAAGTATGCTGATTTGGGAAGAGTTTTTCACTTTTTATTAGGTGTGATTTGATTGGATAAAAATTCGTTAACCAATCAAATTTCGAAAAAAGGTTTGAAATTGCGATGACATTCTAAAAACATGACTTCTGAATAGATATGATGTTGGAAGATATAGACTCTATATTGTATCGAGAGAGCTGTTAAAATTGTTCATTTTAAAACAATCGCATAATTGTAACTTTGTATCGTAATGGTAAATAAGGTGTTTTGTTGTATAACGTTCCCTTGACATTTAATATCGAAGTGCAACAACAGAAATAACGATTAGTTGAAGTTAGCACTGGTCCATGAATATTTACCAACACAAACAGTGCAAGAGTCTTATAAACACAGAAATACATTTCAAGGCGATGAAATTAAAATCCCTAATGGGAATTTGATTATTGTAACAAACGTAATTAATAGTGGTTTAAAAGCATTTAATTTTCCTAGATAAAAGTTGAAATCATTTGAAATCATCAACCAATCACTGTTAGACCACCATTAGAAACCTGGAAGTACTAAAAGACGGCCTTCTCGTCCTAGGATGGGACTCATCAGCGGCAGTGCGCTTCCTTGTCTGCCGCACCTCACATGATTCGAACCCGAGACGTTCGGTAGTGCGCGCGAACGCTTAACCTCTGGACCACTGTGCCGGCTTGAATCAACGGTGTTCATGTCTAACTCTGATTGATCTAGAGATTTTGCGCGAACTCATCCATTTGTCTTAGGTAGTTACTGCCTACACCCGACAGGTTTGAACTCCACTGGTCACGTCTTCTCACTAGAACTCCAAGAATTTTCTCACGATGCTAGTCACTAGTGGTGATAAGCGCAGCAACTTCACTCGCCTTAGGAAGCTTTAAGTTTCCGTGAACTAACCAAACTAGTTTTGTCATGTATTCTTCACATCAGCATAGAATACTTTAGTCCCTGATAAATAATGTTCCAAAAATGGCAATAAAAGCATTTTAATTCGACTAATGGATTCATGCAAATGAACTTATCAGTTTTCTACATCATAACAAAAAAGAACCTTGAAATTCAACTTCACATAGAGAGAGAGAGAGAAACTTAAAATACTGTATCTAAAAATGCAAACCTGCATTCCTGGTTTGTCTCTGGTAATATGATGGACAGTGATGAAAAAAATTAGTATCCTTTCAATAAGCAAGAAGAAAAATAAACATTCAAAATTTTGAAAAAACGTAGACATTAATGCAATGTCTGCAGCTTCTCATGACTTTATAAATCCGTTTTTCCCTCTCTACAGTAAAAAATCACATTGTACATTTTGACAATCGCAAGAGTTCTTCAGGTATGTTTTTCGAATTCCTTTTTAATGTTGATACACTTGGATTAATGTCAGTGTCTTAATTCACCGAATGAATGATTGTTTGAAATACTTTTATGTGGAAGAGAGCAAGAGAGAAGAATGTTTCATAAGAACCGTCATAAACTTTAATACAATTTTTCTCATTTCTAAACTTGATTAAACAATGAACAAATATCTTGACGGTAAAACATGAACTGATTTAATTCATGGATTCTCCTCATCTGTTTTGCAGTCTTAAAACAGTAATAATCATTGAAAAAAAACACAAAATAAATGTATATACTTTATGCTGGAATTTTCTAGAATCACTGGAGTTCAGATATAGAGATAAACTACTGTTCAGAGATCATACATGAATATATATATATATATATATATATATATATATATATATATATATATATATATATATATATATATATATATAACTTACAAATAAGTGAACGCTTTTTTGTAGTTCTCTCAAGGGAGTTTCTATCATTGTATAAATAAATTTGATTTGTGTGCTTATTCAATCTCCTATTATCTGAGTGCTTGTAGAATAACAATCTCTACGCCTTATCAAGACTTTTTGCTATAGTTAGCTGGGCCTAGGACAATAGCCTATCGTGTCACTGAGTAATTGCTATTCGCTCCGCTAACTGAGTAAGGTGATCTCGTTAATAGTTTCAAGCATATTAAATTATAAAGTTGATGATGATATGAGCTCATTGGTTTTCGGTAAACTTTTCACTAGCCATTTTATAACTTTCCTTTAATTAAGCTTATTTAATTCTGAATTAGTGTGTTTATGCATTACCTTTTACTATTGATGTTATTAAAATGTTCCTTAATGTATGATATATAAATTTTTAGTATTCTTATTTAATAGCTTAAATATATTGGTCGGTGTTGATTGTATCTTCTAAACAATTTCATGATTATGCAAACATTTTGATTATTTAAATATTAAAAGTTGTAAAACAGTTAAAATAAGAACATAACGAAATAAAAATGAATTCATGTTGTTCGATTTAAACACATTAACATATTTGTAATTTCGAAGGCAATAAAGAGAATCGTTTGTATGAAATAAATTAAATTTTTGATATCCAAACTACTAATGTGACAGAATTATAGTTAATATGCTATTAAACTCCGAGTAGATAATAAATATCTACTCAACAATTCAATTCTGATCAGCGACCTATACCCCTAGAAGAGTAACAGGCGTAAGTAAATAAACTCGATAATTCATTGTGTAGTGTGTGGTTCCTGACAAAGTAACCATCTTCATAAGAACCCGTACCGGGAGGGGGTTACTGATTGTGCGTGAGCTGTCTGGATGTCTGACTTGCTTGCATGACAATCTAGACGAGGGTGTGCGTACCCTTTGGGGCAAGGGTGTTCATGCAAATGGGAGGTATGAGAATCGTTGGGTTGTGCAAAAGCTGCAGGCATGTTGGTTGACATTCTAACAGCCAAAAAAATGTATTATGTGGTCCCATGTGATCTACTTGTTATTTAAATGTGGCTGCAATGCTGTTAAAAAAAGTATATGCAATTTAAAGTCATTTTTGTTCAAATCTATGAATATACTGATTTTAACTATAACAAAATTTGAACAGATAAACTGATAGACAAAAAGTGATATGATGCGATGATCTGTCTCTCAATTAGAAGGTTTAATGACAAGCTGTGCCAGCAAGCTGCAAATAAAAAAATCACAATTTCATTATTTCTCTGTTGATTTTAAACTCAATCCCTTGCAATGTTAGCTTGTAATATAAATATCATTTTATTGAGACAGTTCGAGGGTACACAAGATTTAAGTTATGTACATGCCAGCCTAATAAGTTATCTAAAATCATTAGTTTGAGAGCCACTCAGCAGAAACCAGTTTGTTAAATAGAAGTCGATAAAGAACTTTGTAGTTAAGACAACTGTTTCTCAACTACATGAATAACTTAAAACTTGCTGGAATTATGTAATTATGAGTTGTAAATTAATCCATTGAGATTACAAACAACAAAAGTAACTTATCCTTTAGAAATGTGTAATATCGTACTATCATGATTCACTAGTTCTTTTGAATAAAATAAGTTACAGGACTCGATGGCTCATTAGACAGAAAGTTTAAGGTTCATCCAACAAATTGTAGATACCAATCAAGCTCCATTTACTCCAATTTAGTGTGTATTCAACGCCCAGTACACAAATTTTACCCACTATTGAGTTGAATAATACTGATACCAATAATAATAATGTACGGATGAGAATACTTAAAAAAATCCGCATGCACATACAATAAACTGAAAGGATAATTCTATAAAGTAAGAAATCAAACACTCTTTTGCAGTTGGTAACTGATTGCAACGATTTAAGAAGGAAATGTGTTAAAAAGAATCTCCGAATAAAACTTAAATATATAACTTTCCTGATTAATACTTGTTGTCTTCGGTAGTTAATACTTACACCCGACAGGGGTGGACTCCACTGGTCACGACTTCTCACGAGAAATCCGAGAATTTCCTCACGAAACTAGTCAGGTATATTGTATTGTATGGTGGGTGTTCATCATAGAGTTATGGAGATTGTTGTTTTTGACTGAAATCATGAACTGATCATTGTTGAACCACCATAAAAACTTTGGAAGCACTGGACGGCTATTTTATTCAAGTATGGAACACTTCAACAGTGTGCTTCCGAAGTGTGAGACCGAAGGTCCTGAGTTCGATTCTCATGGTGGAGAGCTTGCGAATGCGCACTGCTGAAGAGTCCCACACTTTGACGAAACGGCCGTTTAATAATTTCAGGTTTCTAATGGTGGTCTAACAATGGTTGATTCAAAAACAGCAATCTCCATAACTATGTAGTGAATATAATACATTAGCGTTTTTTTTTTAGAATGCTTAGTTTCAGTTAGCAATTCTAACTGTTGCTTTCTTATTCTAACACATAGCTGAACAAAAGACCAGCTTAAGATGCAGATAACTTAAGATGATAGACAGAAACAAACTAGTAGACTAGAATAATTATTTATCACAAAATATGTAAATGTTTTATTTCACATTGTCACTACTACTAGTAATCAGTAGAAAGATAGCACAAGACAAAATGTCAATCAAATCTAATTAGTTAAACAACATTGTAGTAAGCTCTGTTGACACAGAAATAAACCAACTCCTAACAATTAATATTTCAGGATAGTAAGTACTGAAACTACATTTTTACATAAAAAAAAACAGGCTGTCAGAATAGATTATTTTATGTCTATAGAATTTTTATCCCAAATAACTGAAAATGGCAACAATTATTGATTATACAACAAGAAAGATTGGTTCAGAGAAGAGTTCCGTTTTCAACTAACTCATTCTTAAAGCTGTAAAATCATAAATTTACTTTTCCCGCTTAGTAATAAGTACAATTATAGTAGTGTAGTGAAGGTGAACACAGAACACGAAAATTACAGAGTTACTCAGTAAAATCGGGAAACCATATCGTAAATCGTTAATTTGCAAAATATCAGTTCACCATATTGAACTGGACTGTCCCTGTTGCAAAACATCAATCCATTGTCACTATTCATGCGTTTCATACAAATTCCATTGTGTTCTAACTCT